AGAGCATTCGCCAAGGTACAGGATAGTTCTAGAAAATAGGTGGCGCCACACCAGTCACGTGACTCGCTGACGCAACAATATATACATAAGTAGTAAAATGAAAAGGTGATAACATAAAGATTTTTTAAATGTTAAACTCCCTTTATTCTAAGTGATGAAAATACATATAATATAACTACATAATTTTGGTTCCAATATAATGATTTGTTAGATTTACGTTTAGTCTTACGTAAACTAATCTTTTCTATCGTATGATGTCCGCTTTGTTTCACAGTTCGTACAGATTACGTTTAAATTCCACGGTTTTAACACGAAGTACATTATAAACGTTACATTTTCTTACCTTCTTGAACTTCTCCCAAAGTTTCTACAACGCCTCCTGGGTAGATTTTGGCTACGTATGCTCCAATCATGCCGTTGTTTCCAGGGATTTCTTTCCCTCCCACAACTTTCATTCCCAGACCATTTCCTGTACATTAATAATAAGATATTATTACATCTAGTTGTGGCTACTTTAATATCTGTCAGATGTTGAACAGCAAACCAAACAAGTTTGAACATGAATACGACTACGACGTATCTTCTTAGTATTCGATACTAACGTAACGTTACACTCAAGTTATGAAAATATGATTCAATATATTTCAATATTTGTGTTCATTTCTGAAATTTGCAAAATGTCTAGTTTTTTTATGTGTTCTTAGTACGATTTTACCGAGATATTAATTGATTGAAGATCATTAATACATTTTTTATGGCGTAATTAGGGTTATTTTGAGAAACTAATTAACTTGCGAACGTTAGAAATATTTTTCCTTTTATCATCAGGAGTCCTCAATTCAGTGGCGTTATTCTTACTTGTAGCTATACCACAGGCTGCTTATTACGCTTGACATAACATAGTTGTTAACTAATCACTAGTCATCCATAGTCAGAAAGTAAATATTACGTAAGAGGTTTGGCTTAAGACTAAAAAAATAACACAAATCAAATATAAAACAAATCGAAATTGAAATTAAATATGTTCTATCGTTCTTACCGCTAACTGAACGGTCCTTTGGATCTCTTGTTAAAAGAATCCGCTTCACTGGAAAATCATACTTCTGTGAAGTTGTGGGTGCGATGGAGCTCTACATGTACACGTTGAAGTATGTAGCAGTTCTCAAAACCTGGTAGATTCTCTTAAAAACACATCTAGGGATAGCTTACCAAAAACATTAAAACCTAGATATCCTAGATAGCTTACCAAAAAACACTAAGGCCTGGTTATCCTAGACAGTTTACCAAAAACACTAAAACCAAAGTATCCTAGATAGCTTACCAAAAAACAACAACAAAACAAAACAAAACATGAAACCTAGGTATTCTAGATAGTTTACCAAGAAACACACTAAAATTTAGGTATCCTAGGTAGTTTACCAAAAAACACTAAAATTTAGGTATTCTAGATGGTTTACCAAAAACACTGAAACTTACGTATCCTAGATGACCTGTCAAAAACAACACTAGAATCTAAGTATCTTAGATGAGCTGTCAAAAACTATAAAATCTAGGCATCCTAGAAAACCTGTCAAAAAAGCAACAACAATAAAATCTAGTGCATTCTAGAAAACCTGTCAAAAAAGCAACAACAACAAAATCTATGAATTCTAGAAAACCTGTCAAAAAAGCAACAACAATAAAATCTATGCATCCTAGAAAACCTGTCAAAAAAGCAACAACAATAAAATCTATGCATCCTAGAAAACCT